GCAGGAAATGTTCAAGCCATCAGATTCCAAAACCATTTAAATGAAAGCTTTGATAGGATTTTTTTTTGTGTGCAAGTTGGGGTGGAAACTTATTGGGTTATTATTTTATTTTTCATATGTACAGACAGGAGAAACATGAGCTTGAGCCAATGGACTAATAAAACATAGTTCTGGTTTTACAAGCCTTATTGCTTCTACTTTAGCTCATAATGTGCTGATGTCAGATCCTAATGAAGTCATCATGGCACCGATATTCATCAGCTGGCATAAGCGATAATACTTTCTGCTTGTTTTCTTATGATGCCATTATGCAACTTTGAGTTTAGAAGTTCAAAGAAGCTCAGTCATATTAAGGAATGTGCTTACACGTACCTGCATACACACTACAGTATGTACTTAAGATATGACCCAGTGTTTAAATGTAGAAACTGCCCAACTTTTGATTTACATTCCACAGCAAATCAGCAGCTTGCTTAAATTACAGTCTGTACTGCAAACACAGAACATGGGCTCAGGATCAGAAGTGTGAATATGTGCTTCTTTATACTCGTTTGTAGAGGACTTTTTTTGGGGGGGGGGTTTGACATGCAAAGCTAGTTTTTCTGTCACACTGTAGTGTGTAAGTGTCATGAGGGCAGAGGACTTGGGGCAGAGCAGCACAGGAAGTTCTGACTTCCTCCTCCATCACTGAGAAACCCTCCCCGTGGCAAAGATGTCCGGTGGAGTTGACTCACCGGAGATTTATTGTAGGGCTGTAACTTGTGTATTAGTGTGTATCTTTGTACACAGTGTATATGTAGTACACTGTGTAGTTCTGAATCTTTCTCCCATGTTTCCACCTTAAGCAATCTCTCTCTTACTCTTCTTATTGTCTTATATTTTTTATTACACTTCCCATCATGGTCCACGTTTCGTTCCATCTTTCTCTGAGTCCTTTCCACTGTGGAAGCTTCTAGTGCCCAAATCAGCTGACTACAAAACATCTTTTGGCAGCTGCTGCTTGCTTTTGCGTGTTTTTCCTTTTTAATGCATAAATTAGCATTCAGCGTTGACATGACAATTGGCTCTTTAGTGTTCATGCATGTGTGTATTTTGTGTGCGCATGGATTGGCCAGGCAGTAGAGGAAACTGTCGTGGGAGTGTCTTTTGCAGCTCCTAGGACAGATAACATTACCCCGCTGATGCTTACATAACTTCCAGGCAACGCCACGTCACAAGTGACCCAGACACACACATACACAGTTGCTCCCACATAAACATACACACAAACTGGTACATTTGTACCTATGTCGATAAAACAGCTGCCTCCACGAGGCTCTGATTGTGTGATACAAAGGTTGTATGTCTGTGACTGTGATGTGCTTTTAAGATAAAGGAAAATCATTTCTAGAAATCTTTCTAGAAATGATTTTTGTGTGTGTGTGTCTCTCTGTTATCGGGAAATCCATTTGTGGCTAGTTGTTCTCTATGTAGGTCATGTTGCAAACAGGCTCCTTCGGTTTAATACCAGTATCACAGACACACACACACACTTGTGCACATATGCTTTCCCATGAGGGTCTGTGTTTCCTTCCAATGTGGTAACCACATGTTTAGTGATGAAGGAAATGAAGGGAAAGAGAGAAAGTGGTTCGCTTATTTCTAGAAGCTGATTATTGCTTCATTCTGCTGGAAAAAGCAAGATGCTAATACACACCGTCGGGTTACACTAACTGTCAGCAGTGTTGGCCCATCAACAAATGTGTGTTTATGCAGTGTGTACAAGTTATTTCGTTACTACAGAGGTAAGTAATTGATCGTGTGTCAGGCCACATTTTTGTCTTGCAGCATTTTTGTTGTGTTTAGGGGGCCCTGCCACAGCTGTTAAAGACAGCTGTAACATGTAACATCTGAAGTGTTGCATCATCTTCTTAGTCTGTGTCTGTGTATGTACATGAATGTATGTATGAGGAGCTGCACAAAAACACAAGTTTGTGTGTGTGTGTGTGTGTTTGTCTACGTGTGTCTTTGTGAATGAGACTGTTTGTTGTGTGTGTGTGGATGAGACAGGATGCTTATTATGGGCATGTGGACAAATGCTAGACTTTTGAAGGTGGCACTTTAAAAATAAAGGCTCTAAATGTATTTTAGACATAATTAATTTAGTGATCTGAATATGTTCTGCTTTTTCAGTAAGCTTGAGTTTTTTGTCGCTATGAATTTTTTATTTTTATTGCTTTTTTCTGTGTCATTAAATGTAATTATTTTGTGTTTCACTTTACTACACTTGTTGCTCATGATGACATTGGGGTTTTTTTTGTTATTTGACACCTTTCTAACCATTCCTCTGTATTGCCCCGAGTGTGTCATGGTTGTGCTATTTCTATCTCTGTTCTGTGCAATACAAAAAATACTTTGTATTTATTCCTGTGGTCCTCTTCTTGAAGCAGAGTCTGTCAAACTAGAATATGTCATTGACCACCAGATGAACCCCCACATTAGACCACAGACCTCAGATTTATTTCATTAACCCTTCCAGTCAGGACTGCTTAGTTCCTGCTGTGGAAGCAACTTGTGTGCAGTGTTCTTTATCAGCAAACATAAGTAAGATATAAACCTACCCTCAGACACTGCTTTCCATTATGTGATGGCTTCTGAACTTGTTGGCTTCATGTCAGAATGACGACCATTGTCACAAAGTGGCAACTGCAGTCTGACTAGGTTGGGCATAGTAACATTTATGTCAATGAGCCAGAAATGTTACATATCACATTCCTGATTGCCTTGCATACATCAAAAATGTTAAGCTTTGCCTTAACTTTGTTAACATGTTATCAATGATTATTAGCAACCATAATATCATAGCTGGAGGTGTTTTTAATTTGTAAATGTCAATGAGTCCATTAGGGCAAAGAGAAGCCTAGCGATACCTTTGACAACAAGAAATAGCAAATGTGTGTATGTCTGATTTTTGAGAGTTTTTCAAAACAGTAGGCTCACAACAGAGCAATATTTCCTCAGAGGAATTAAACTAGTCTTTGCAGCTCTGACTGTCTCTTGTTGTGGTTCATTACACGTGCTATTTAGAAGGTAGAGTCATATCATTGCATGCCATCTAGGATATGACTTGATATCTCATCTCTGCCCTGACCTCTCTTTAACTCAGAGGCGGAAGAAGCAACAGATGGAAGATGAGAAGCGGAAAAGCAAAGGGGAGCGGGGTTGGTTAGCTGTGTTGTCTAGGATTCCAGTAGGATTAGGCAGAGGAAGTTGTGACTCTATTCGTGGTGCTTAAAGGGTAGAGCTGGGGGTGAGACCAGAGAGTGACGTTACCACAGTGCGAATCAAGGACCACAGTGAGTTATTTGTACATTTGCGCACAAACAAACACGATTGAAAGCCTTTTGATGGACACATACAAACGTGTGATTATCTCGGGCTTTTGTGAATGAAAGTCAGTCTAATATTGTATGACTTGACAGCTCTGTGTGTGTGTGTGTGTGTGTGTGTGTTGAATAGCAGGACAAAGAGTGTCTTGTATTTTGCCAATGGTTTGGGGGGTAGTTAGGCTTGTTGGGTCCAGTCCTGGGGGCCAGGGATGGGATGTTCAGTGTGTGTGTGACTGGAGGAATGCTGCTGTTTGCTGAGTGAAGAGCACAGAGGCAGCAGAGACTGTCCAAACACACGTCTGTTTGCCAAGTGTGTGTGCGTGTCTGAGTGACGATGCCTGAGAGTGTGTGTGTGTGTGTGATTGTGCAGTGTGTGAGTAAGAGGGGAAAGTGTGCTATGAGCAGTGGTGGAAAGAGGTGTAGAGCAGCTCTGTGTGTGTTTCCCCGTGCTATGACCTTCTATTCAATGGAGACTTTCATATGCAGTTCTAGTCTCCATGGTAGGGGAGCAGACTAGACTGAAAGAGGCCTGTCTCTTCATACCTGTGACCTACTCACCGCACACACAAACAGACACACACACACACATTAATCCACATTTCAGACTTTGCTCAGGTTGTATTTCTGTGTGTAGGTGGGTGTATGTTTACTGTACTGTTACCTGTTTGTTTGGCTGATGAGAGGTCAGTAAAGTGGGTGAGTAATGGAGGGCTGATGTGAAGGACGGAGAAAAGATGATAAAGAACATTGATGAAGTATGGAAAGGATAAACTTAGTAAGGAAGGCAAGGATCAAATGAGTAATATTGGAGGGAAGAAAGGATGTGAGTAATAACAGAAGCTGGGGAAAGAGGAGAAATCCCTGAAAACAGTCTGTGAAGTATGGAGGTAGAGGGTAAAGCAGCTGAAAAGATAAAAAATAGCCCTTTAATGGAGACTAGATTTTAGAATAGTCAACAAGTATGTAAGTGTTGTCAACTTGGGAAAAAAATGTTAATGTGTCTTCATAGTAGCATGTGTGCTTGGAGGTAGTGAAGGCCTCTGTGCAGTGTGATTTATTCTGAGGCTAGGTCTGCTTCCAGCTGTCCCGACGGGGTCCCAATGACTTTAACAGGCGCAGACCTCCATCACAGAAAGACAGAGGAAGAGGGAGACGGGGAGATTTTTTTTTGGAGGGGGGTATTTAGACAGTGGAAAAGTCAACATCATTTTCAGTCTGCTAATTCTATTTAGATTCGCATACTTCTCCTTCAGTGTAGAAACCTCATTTCTCAGTAAGCAGCCATGTACCCTTATTTTTTATACCTATAATTATCATAATAGTACTGCTGAATAGCCAGTGACAAGGAAAAGGCTTGCTTATATTTATGTGTGAGCTGTTTGAGATTATACAAGCAGATTTGAAGGGAAGAGACTCTTATTTTTAAGTGGTTAATTACCTTTATTTCCTAGTATCTTCATACTGTGGGACTAAGTAACTATAGTGCTTAATATAAAATAACACAGCCCAACCTTCAGCGTATCTGTCTACTTTATGTCCTCGCATGTGAACTGCCAACTGATGAATGTAAATGAGAATTTATCTAAGCATTAGTTGCCCGGTTGAGTAAATAATTCTTCTCCTTCCTCACAGGTCCTGCTGAGGTTCCCATGATGTCCCCAAATGGGTCGATCCCTCCCATCCACGTCCCCCCAGGCTACATCTCACAGGTTAGTTTATTTTGTGTGTGTATTTTTCCTCAGTTTGATACTCTTTGACGTATTTTTTATGTTTATCGTGTTTGGGTTGTGTAAGAGAGTTTGAGTAAAGGAAAAAAAAAAAACGGACTCAGGGGGAGACTTGTGCATGGAGTATGAGCATGCACGACTACAGTAAATTAGCTAGTGTTTCTCATTTCTCCACCAAAAAGAGGCTTCTTTAAGTAATAAAAATGCAGATATTTCTTAATTTAATATATTTTAAGGTAAATTTACCCAGTGTTCATTTATTTTTTTCAGTTCACTCAATTAGTCTGCCTGAAGACTGTTTCAGCATGTTGGTTCTTGTCACTGGAAAATTGTTATGATGCTGTAAATGGAAGTAAATCAAATCAAACTCATGCGTTAACAGTAAAAAGTAGTTGCGTTAGAGTCCAAAACTAGAGAATATAGCAGCATAGCATATTTCTATGCACTGGCCGGTTGATAGACTAAGCAATTTGTACTTGTATAGTGTTTTATTGAACAGCTATCAGAAGTGGCTCTAGTAGTCATTAGTAAAGGATGCAGATGATGGGTTTTTTTAGCCTGTGCTCGACCCCAACAAAAGTCACTTATTCTGTCTGTCATAGAGAAGCAACAACGCTGGTCTTCTTGACCCAACAGAGCACCAAGCAGTACTTGCTGAATTTGGAGTTTTAGGTTCAATTAATATTTGAGTCCTCTACAGGAACAGTGTATGCACTTTCTCTATTAGATAACAACACCAGGACAATGAGAAAAAGAAGGGGAAAAGAAGTCAATAAACTATCCTCACAAGATTTCAAAAAAATCCTGTGGTTTGTCTATTGGCAAGATTGTGCTCTTACCCAACGGAGGTCGGGTCATTGGCTCACCGTGGGTGTGTGTTTGTGTGTGTGTGGTTGTGTGTGGTTGTGTGTGAGTAGGGACTGAGCCAAGCCTGAGCGGGAAACACTGTCACTGTTAGATAAACAAGCATGATACGGGAGACAGGCATTCATTGGGCAAAATTTTTTTTGGAAGGGGGGATTAGGGTTGCACGAAGGGGTGAAAGGAGAAAGAGCACTGCTGTGGTGGACAGTAGTGTGTTGAAGTAGTTGTGTCTTATGTGTCTAAAGTGCTCATGTGTATGTGTGTCCTCTGGGAGTTTTCACTAATGCCTGCAATGTGATGCCATGTGTGTTTGTGGGTGTTTCATATTTGGAATGTGCGTGTCCTTGCCAATAAATGTGTGCGTGTAGGCCTGGTCTGCATATACTCCTGCAGAGACTTTGCCCTTGTTTTTCTGTAAACACATCGTTTTTTCATGTGCAGCAGAGGGGATGAAAGGGCAGAGAGCGGGCCTCCTCCTCTGCATCTATTTGCTCCCTCTCAAGGTTATTCTCACATCAGATTAGTTTTGTAACTCTCTTCCTCCCCTCCCGACCCTCTTTCATTCCCCACCATCTTTCTTTGTGTGGTATCTGTTGCTTCTCAGTTTGTGTGGGGATTTCACGGTGGTGTTATTTAGTGTATGTGTGTGCGTGAGAGACAGTGTGCGGTGTTGTTGTTGTTAGGGACCAGCAGATGACTTCCCCCTCGCTGCAGGGAGTGTGTGTTTGCTCTCTTCTTGGAATGCAGCCCTGTGAAAGTATCTGAATAGTTGGAATGTGTGTGTCTGTATCTGTGTCCGAGTGAAAATGAATACATGTTTGGAATCTATGCTAATTTCAGGCAGTTCTCTGAAGCTTGTTGCCAGAAAAATGTGCAGGCCATCTAAGGACACGTTACAGCATTTGTTTTTCATTGCTTTAAGGGACCGCACATCCTGTTGGTACACGCTCAGCTGTCAGATAAATCAGGCAGTTAATTCTTTTATTAAATATCCACCATTTAACAGACAGAGCACCTGCTCTTGTAAAATAATGGGCAGTGAAGTACTCTTGGCATGATGGGCAATTCACTCAGTTCTCTGAATCACTTGACTTAAATTAAAGCCAGCGCTATCTAAGGAACCTTTACTCAACGGTATATAAAGCAGTCAAAGGCAGTGTGCACTTTTCAAGTCTTGCGTGATTTGTAGGTAGTAAAATTCAGGCGCACAGACGCACATTTCTTAGTCTTTTAGGCTTTTTAAAAATGTTATTTTCATGTTCTGTGAACCCATACTTAGCTTTTCTCCTCTCTCCCACAGGTGCTGGAAGATACCACAGGGGTCCGCCGAGTAGTCGTGACCCCCCAGTCTCCGGAGTGCTACCCTCCCTCCTACTCTCCAGCTCTCTCCCCCACACATCACCTGCCGCCATACCTGCCTCACCCTCACTTCATCCCCAACTCTCACTCTTTCTATCCTCCCGTCAGCCCCGGGGAGCTGCCTCCCCATCAGTACTACCAACACCACCTTCCCCCCATGTACGGCGATCCAGGTACTCGTGCTGACTGAACACAGGCCATCTGCAAAAACAAAAAAGAAAGCAAAAAAACAAAAAAAAACAAATCAGATTTTGACATTGAGTTCAAATTCAGTTACGAATATGCGCCGCACAATCTGCACGGTACGAAATTTAACATGAAATATTTTCTATGCTCTTCTTCCTTGCAGAAATCATCCCAGTTTATGGGATGTCAAACTTCATAGGGAGGGAGGATACATACAGTAAGCCACAACCTAAAAAGTTAAAGGAACCGAGACAGAATCGAGTCAATTCTCCTCCCTCTACTCCCTATAAGGGCAGCCTTGGGCCAGCACACAATGGATACAGGTGATCATCATTTATGAGATGCGCTTTAAGATTAGCCAACTCATTAATGGTTAGACTTCTGAAGGCACGATGTTGATGATTTATATATTCATTTCATTTTTTATGTCATTATATGTAGGTAATATAAAAATCAGTTAACTAAGCTGTGTAAAATTTTAATGTGTTAGCTGTTCATTTGGAATAAGAATGGACCTGTTTTCACATGTA